AAAAAAAAAACAAACAAAAAAGAGAGAGACTTCTGGGATGCGTCGAGTTCATCGCAACTGTCATCAACCAGAAGCGCAAGCTCCCCCCATGCTCCAGCTTTGGACTTCTACGGGTGAGGCTATCTTGCACGGATGTTGATTGTGCTAGCCAACCCGAGCACACAATATGCAAAAACCCGGCGCTGGACATGTACCGGCGTCCGAAACATTCTCCCTGTTTGGGACCTGGCAAGCGACGAAGCGCATGCAAAACGATGGCCAACGGCGCGGTGCAAATGCCCGAAGCCTCTCCCCTCTTCATGTCAAGTTGCGAGCACGTCGTCGTTCGTTGAAGTTGGCAAAGCACATCCGGGCCCTGTCAGTCACGCTTTCATCTTGGACAAGTCAACATCACACGCAAGGCGGTGCGAGCCCTGCGCTCTCCGCTCCGTCAGCCTGAATCGAAATGGCTGTGACATTTGACTGGAAGAGCCTGTACCAGAGCAAAGGCAAGTGCGATCAATGAAAGTGTGCAGAACGAGTGCTTTGTCGTATGGCAGGGGGGTATGTAAGGGTGAGTCAATGCTGTGGTGCCATCAAGAGTCGTCCTTGTGATCCTCTCTTCTCCTCGCCATGTCGGACTGAGGCGATCCAGATCCAGCATGCCGCGCTGAACCGGTCAGCACACGCCTGTTCCAACTGCCCCTCTTGACCTCCTCCCACTCCACTCTGAGGAAAACCCAAGCGCAGCGTCTGACAATCTCCAATCCCTCCAGGAAGAACACGCCGGCTTCTAGCTCCACAATGTGGTGCAGATGACTACTGAGCTTCAGTGACCAGGTGAATCGCAGAAGCAGGTCCAGCAGTATGGACAGATGATACACCCATGGGTGGAATAGCATCGGTTTGGAAGCTGGTCGTAACATCGAAGATCTCCTCCGATGGTGACCGGCCTGCGACGAGCTACTTAAGCTGGGCGGCCGGAGAAAAGTTTTTTGGGAGGTGTTCGATCCGCTCACAGAGCGGTGAAGCGTCGTGCTGCTGTTGCTAGGTGACACCGAGACGCTGGACTGGTGATCTATCGCCATCTCTTTGGGCTGAAGGTCTGACGACAAGTCGCTCTCGTTTGGCGAGGGCACTGTGCCAACCGGTAACGAGCTCAATCCTCTCCTGTGGAAGGTTGGTGCGTTACGCGTGCTTCCTGTGCCCGGCAGCAATGAGTAACCGCTGGTCGAAAATTGAACTCCTTGTCCGCCGAGCGCTCTGGGTAGGGGCCACGCGCTAGGCCTGAGCATGTCTAGCCCCCAATCGTTTGTGACATCCCACCAGAATGAGA